AGTGTTGTGCAAACATATTGGCTAAATGGAATTAAACACTAGGTGTGAAACAAAGAAAATTCATTTTCCCTGCTGACACGTGGAGTACATTTTGTGTGTGTGTGTGTGTGTGTGTGTGTGTGTGTGTGTGTGTGTGTGTGTGTGTGTGTGTGTGTGTGTGTGTGTGTTTGAAGCTACGTTGATGCGATTTCCACTTTTTTTGACCTTTTCACTATAGATGAAACAGTAGAATAACTCCACCAAACAGAAGCCAATCTGAAGGTGACTTTGAGCGAGTGAATAATTGTGTATAAGCTTGTTTTCTCCTCCCTAAACTTCTGAGAGATATTCTCTGACTCTGGTTGCACTCACACACATTGGCTGGATACTTTACGAGCAGTTTGTCTATGTGTCAGGGTGGAGCGTTTGGCCGTGTGTCTCTCTGTGTGTCAGTGAATCAGTGTGGTTTACATCTTGTGAAAACAGGGTGTGGCTTCTTCTTGCTTGACTGTGTTATTTTGTCTGTGTGTGTGTGTGTGTGTGCGTGTGTGTGTGTGTGTGTGTGTCAGCCTTACTTTGGGATTTGGAAGCGTGTCTCCGAGTTGGGGTGTAGCTGTTGGCGCTGTGTAATCATATCCAAAAGCGCTCACTCACTTACGCACACAAACGCACACCAGATGCTGTTTCTTGCCACAGGATGATGTAAAGATGACAGCGATGTGTGAAAGACATCGGTGTGTAGTAGTTTTTAGAATTGTTATTCACTAATGAATAGTGATTCATCCTTTAAGTTTTTGACTGCAACAATCCAGGATAAGTGAGTATTCCCTGTTTTCTTTAAAAAGTAGACCAGACTTTGTCATTCTCCGACAAAAAAGGACAAATACACGAGCTCCAAGAGCAGCCTAGTAAAGTCAGTCGAGTAAAGACTCATTTATATTTGATGGTTATATTTTACAGATTGTAGTGACATTTTTTACCTGTATTTGTGGTTCCTGGATGATGATTTTAGTTGTGATATTTTCATCTACGCCACAAGGTTTTCAGTCTATCCATCATTACGTGTGTGCACAGCTACAGAGAAAATCATGTAGAGTTTCATTTATGCCTCAAACTGCTCAGATTTTTTTTAAGTATTTCTGAAGACTTTACCACAACAGATGGATCCACATGTTTGATTTGGCACAGATTTATTGTTATATATTTTAGATGTTGGATGCCATTCTGATGCAGCATTTTCATTTATCTGAATTTGGGACCTGCAATAGAATATGACTGGCTTGTGAGGCTGGGTTTGTGTCTCCTTCTGGTCTGAAACTGGTAATCTTTTGTGTGTAAGGCATATATATTAGGCCCCAATCACAGGAGTCTAGAGACCAGCCAGTGACGCCTTGACAATCACCAGTCATTAGGAATAAATATGTATTCCCCAACTGGATTTTGGTGCTGGACTTTCCTATCAGTCACTAAGTGAAATTGGTTGAAAAAGGTTTGTAGTACAGCAATGAAAACCTCTTTGCAGTTGTTTTGGCCACTAGCAGATTGACCTGGTTGCCCACAGTTTGAAACACAAAAACACGACACGTCAAGCAGTAGTGAAACTGTGAAAGGTGTGATGTACCTTTTGAATTGTGTTGATTGTAGCAGAAAGCCACACCTTTCTCTGGAGCTCGGAGAGTAAATGGCGAGCATTTGCAGACAGGTCATCGTATGGATCAATGTGGATTATAGATCGATTTTACCTGGCCAGCAACCTCCTGTAGCCACTCCCTGGTTACCGAATTTCACAGTTTTCCCCAGTAATCTTTGGTGGCCTGAAGCCTTAACCACTGCAACACGGAACCACAAGTCAAAAAACACTGATAGACATTTAATTGTAAACTGAAAGTTTTTGAAGTACTAACTCTGTTTGTTGGAAGCATATAATAGCTATTAGCATACACCAACCTGGTCAGGACCCAGCTAGTTTCTAACAGTATTAGGGAAAGGAGGGCATGGCTGTCTAATGACCAGTCCAGATGTGTCATATTTTTATGCTCGCATCTCAGGGAAAAAACAAATCAAGAGGATTCCCTCTGACACATTTGGCATGGCTCTGAGTGGTGCATTTTGTTAGCATATACTGTCCTGCTGTTAGCCAATAGTACTGATGCATAATAAATTACAGATGAAATAAAATTTTTGTGCTGACATTAACTGCATCAGGGAGCCGTCTGTGTCCTCAAACTGTGCCGCTCTTTGAAGGACTGACACATACTCTAAATTAGAGATGGTCGCTGTGTTGTTTCACTTTATTCTGTTTAGGAAAAACATGTTAGCATATAGTTTCTCATCTGACTGACACAGTGCTAGTTGCTCAATAAATGAGTAGCTGTTACTACTTAATGCTGGTGTCTTGCAGGCCTTTCCCTTTGCA